AAAAAAAAAAAAAAAAACTGTCACCACCAAAGCAGGTAGATGGGTATTTTATGACCCAGAAAATAATTATTATTCACAAAGCCCCTATTCCTACCCTACATGTGTCTGCTTGGGTATAAAAAAGACATATATGGCTGTTCAAAGCAGCATTATTTGTAATAGTCACAAACTTGAAAGCAACACAAATGTCTCATAACAGTAAAATGGATGAAATACAGCATGCAAGTGAGTATTACAGAGGAGTAGAATTAAACTACAGCTAAATATGGCATACACAATCTTTGTAAAATGTTGAGTAAAAGAAACCAGCGGGCTAGGAATATGGCTTAGCGGTAGAGTGCTTGCCTAGCATGCGTGAAGCCCTGGGTTTGATTCTCAATCCCACATACACAGAAAAAGCCAGAAGTGGCACTGTAGCTCAAGTGGTAGAGTGCTAGCCTTGAACACAAAGAGGCTCAAGGACCATCAAAAAACAAAACAAAAAAAATAGCTATGTGATTATTTGTAGTTCAAGACAGGCAAAATCAATGTGTGATTTAGTATCCACAATAGGGGTTACCTTAGCCAAGGAGCAGGAGGAATGGCTGGGAGGTACATGAAAGGAATTTCTGGGTGTAGTCTGCTGTGATTACATGGATGCCTTGTGTTCTTTATGGTAAGTTTTTGTTACCTCATGGATAAAGACATTTTAGTGTTTAATAATGGAATTTCTTTTTCCTTAGACATGGCAAATATGTATGTCTTACTTCGTGCTGTGTCCTCTGGCTTACCTCACATGATTCAGGAGCTGCAGAATCATATCCATGATGAGGGTCTCAGAGCAACCAGTACCCTTACTCAGGAAAATGTGAGTTCTATGTAAGGAATGAGAAAGGTTATCTGCTACTCAGATTTATCATATTGTCCTTTTGGGTTTACTGTTTTATAAGATGAAAGAATATGTTTCATCGTATCAACAGATATGTCACTATTGAATGACATTGGCTGCTTCTAGCCATATTGATGTGTTTGTTCCCTTGGCATCTAACTTCACACAAAAATATGTTTTTAGTTTCTCTATAACTGTTTTTCTTGTAAGTGGAGATGAAAACAAATATTTACTATTCACAGTGCCTCAAACACTAACCCTCACATCCCTAATACCTTTCTTTGTCAACCACATCACAAATCTTTTTTTTTTTTTTTTTTTGTCATGGGGCTTGAACTCAGGGCCTGAGCTCTTCAGCTCAAGGCTAGCACTCTATCTCTCTTTTTTTTTTTTAAATTTTTTATTGTGAAAATACTGTACAGAGGGGTTACAATTACATGGGCAAGATAGTGAGTACATTTCTT